CAAATAGTTTGCCATAATTTCATTATTATCCAAATATTTTTTCTATTAACTGAAATATATTGTTGAGAAAGGAACTAAATAGCTTTCTGAAAATGTACATTTTATAATCAGTATGTAATTACAATGTATTTACTCTACTTTGAATTTGTCCCATACAGGGTGGACACATTTTTCTGTTTGCATGTGTGGAGTCTATTTTTATATAACATTACAAGATTCTTATGATTACATTATTTGCTTATTGTGCTCATTTTATGTTGCTGTGACACTTAGGAATAAATGGACACAAACACCCCCCCCCCCCCCCCACTATATCTGAAGAAACGTTAGCGAAAACATATTACGTATATGATAGAGACAGAGTAGGGAGGGATTTCGCCAGCCGGCCGAATGATGATTGGAGGATCGTGTTGCCAAGAGACTCTTGTCTGAGTCTGTGCACGTACCAAAAAGAACCAAGTCTAAACTGCGGTATCTCTTCATCTAGTCTTGACCAATCATAAATGTACGGGCAACGCTCTGTGTAATAAAATGTATTGTCGCACGTGGTTCGAGGCTCTTTACGGATATGGTGGTTACAGATTATAGCTTTGCTGCCTGTGATTTCCAAGACGTGACGAGTCTTTGGCCAAGTGAAAATATATCTTTTGCTCTCTTTACAATAAATAGTTAAACTTAGAAGTTGTCTGTCTTTTCTGGAATTCTGAACCCAACACATGTACATTGTCTGCCTGCAATTAATTTATAAAAAGTGTGGGAGCTTGACCAACATCCATTTCTAACAGCATAACATATACTTAATACAATGAATATGAAGTTCAATGGAAAATCTCAGCTTTTTTTTTTGGAAATGGGGAAGTCTCAAATGCACCGTATGGTGATATTGACTCATTTGTAGAATGGAAACTCCCCCAAATTGCGTAAACCATTAAATCCCCAAAGCATTTCCGCATGAAGAAATATATAATCTATGAGGTCACAGTAACAGTTAAAACACAGTTTCTGTTCATTAAAATAACCGCAGTCATTGTACTGATTCAATGTTAAAGGGCCCATGTCATGCTTTTCTGGTTATTACCCGTCCCCTTGTGTGTTATGAAGGTTTTTATGCATGTAAACGGTCTGCAGAGTCAAAAACCCTCAAAGTACACCCTGTAAGGAGTAAAACTCTAACACAGAAAATACCTCCCCAAAACGCCTCGTTGGAGATTTCTCATTTTCCAATGTTGTCTTCCTGGGTATCGTGACGTGCCCTTACCCAAATGAACAACAAATGACCGGATTGGTCCATTCCGGCGCAGCACCTCACACACCAGGATCCCTTGGCGTCACTATCTCGTCTACTACAGGGAGTCCCATTGACTTGCATAGAGCTCCCTGAACGCTGGTAATAGACGAGTTGGGATCGCGGAGAAATGCTCTCCGCAGATCCATTCTCACAGCCGAGTATAAGTACTGATTAGTTGTTTGTTATATGATCACTTTAAACAGGCTATTGCAATGCAATATGAGGAAAACATCACACTTTAGCTAAATGCAAACAACTTATAAGCAAAACACTTCAGAATCAGAAATCAGTATCACAAATACTTTATTAATCCCCCGCAGGGAAACTGTGTTAAAAGTACTTAAAAGTCAACATTTGTTCTGTGCCATTTGCAACTAAAAAACTATTGCTGCAATATTATCTGAAATATACTGAACTGGTGATATTAAAACATGACCTGTTCCAAAAGAGATATCTACCATTAACACCATTTACCAGCCAAATGCTGGTAAATCATGCAAGTGGCTGGTACTGTATGTTGCACGCACCAGCCACAAATAACAATGGCAATCTATTGAGTGGCTGGTAACATTTCAACATTCACTAGGCTAGCCATTTGGCCAGTGGACAAAAATGTTAAAATGTGACCTCTGCAACCGTATTGTTTAATTACACTGGGTCTCGAATGACATCTTTTAAGTCTACTATAAATAAACATATTCCTCTATCCTCTCACTCAAACCCAGTGTAATGGTAACCTGATAAACCTGTAACATTAACGTTACGTGGTCAACAATAAACCTGTAACCTGCCTATAAACCGACAGATGTATTTATGTATGTAACTATGTATGTTTCTACGTTTAACGTTAGCCAGTAGATGGTGGCAGCGGAACGTAATGATTAACGTTACCGACCTTTTTTATGTCATGTCAAGAGTTGGATGTCAACGCCACTCAACGCAAACAAGTGTGACAAGCAAACATTCACTCATCTTTTCAAATATTCAGTTACAAAGCTAGTAGCTAAGTTAACATTACATAGCTGATGCTGAGCTAAACATGTTTGCTAACCGTCCATATGCGTTAATGTGACTGACCTCTCCGGGTGAGTTTTCAAGTGCCTGATGAAATTTGACGTTGTTGCACCAGCATCCTTGATTTTAATATTGCAGACTTTGCAGTGTGCGCTCCTTTTGTTGGTGCCGCCGGCGTTTTGTTCGAAGTTTTTATAGTTGAACCTAATTACAAGCGGTACAGCTGCAGGTGTGCGGCCTGTCGCCATGGTGTTACCATGATGTTAATGTTAATGTTAAAGGTGGGGTAGGTAAGTTTGAGAAACCGGCTCGAGATACACTTTTTGTTATATTCCATGGAATGCTCTTAACATCCCGATCGCCGGCCCGGCTAAAGTAACTGGATGGCCGACCTGCCTGTCAGCCTTCCATCGGGGCACAAACGTATCTCGTGCCCTCATTGGTCATGTGCGCGTTCGTGTGTGTTGGAGGAGGGGCTCTGTGAGGAAGTGGCAGATTTTCTCCGGTTGTGTATTTTCTAATTCTAGCGATCTCGAGCCGGTTTCTCAAACTTACCTACCCCACCTTTAATACGCCAAAAATAGAAAACACAATGATTGTTCACGAGTCCCAAAACACGAGTCCGAAGTCTTTTGAGCAGGAGTCCAAGTCAAGTCTGAAGTCTCTGTGTGTGCGACTTAAGTGCGACTCGAGTCCGAGTCACAGACTCGAGTCCCCATCTCTGTCACAGCGTTATAAACCTTTTTCTTACTCAATATCAAGCCACAGGTATTGCTTTTACTTCGGCTGTGACTGTTTGTGTGTGCTCAGGATGAGTTTCGATGTGTCTCGCTGTATCGCCGACCCGGAAACCACACCACCAGCTCACACTGCAGCAGCGAGCCTCGCAACGTCCCGACCAATCAGAGCACACTGGGCTCACAGGGAGGGGGGGGGGGGAGCAGGAGCTCCAACAAGCCGTTTAGGACAGAGTGAAATTCAGTGAATACACATACTATACAGAGATGCTGTATGAGAAACCAATGTGATTTTGGAAAATTGCACAATTTAAATATATTCTAGACCTCAACAATGGAATTGTGATCAGTAGAAATGGCCATGACATGGGACCTTAAAGTGAATAACCGATTGGGCAACAACAGACCTTATTCAGATTCTGATGACTTCAAAACACTTTACACCTGATACCTGTCAGCCTCTATAGCAGCGGTGCAAGTTCAGACATGTTTTTTGTACAGTGAGTGAATGCAGTCTGACTAGCGTGTGTGTCACTTATTTCACTCGTTTTCATTTCGTGTTGTGCCTGCGTGTTGCTCTCGTCTTATCTTCAGTAGGTTCCTCTCTAACTCACCAACCTGATAGCTGCATTGGCGTGACCTTGATAAGGTATTTTATTTGGTGGTAACTAATCTTTGCCTGCTAACTCTCAGGACAGGATTCTTGTCCAGACAGATATCTACATATATACACCAGTTTTTACAAACCAAAGGGTTTTGGAGAAGTCAAAGTACATTTACTGTAAAGTTTGAGGCCCTATATCTTTACATTACATTGCATTTAGCTGACGCTTTTGTCCAAAGCGACTTACAATAAGTACATTCGACCAGGAAGACACAACCTTGAAGAAAACAGAATCATATAAGTACATCAGGTTTCATAGAGCCAAACATTTCAAGTGCTACTCAACTGGCTTTAGGTAAGCCAGTCCTTTATTAGTATAAAAGTGCTTCGTTAATAGTTCTAACGCTCGAAGTGGAGTCGAAAGAGATGAGTTTTCAGTTTGCGCTGGAAGATGTGCAAGCTATCTGCCATCCTGATGTCAATGGGGAGCTCATTCCACCATCTTGGAGCCAGGACAGCAAACCCACGTGTTTTTGCTGATGGGAACTTGGGTCCCCCTCGCAGCGAGGGCGCAGCGAGTCGTTTGGCTGATGCAGAGCGTAGTGCACGCGCTGGGGTGTACGGTTTAACCATGTCCTGGATGTAGGAAGGGCCAGATCCATTCGCAGCATGGTAAGCAAGTACCAGTGTCTTGAAGTGGATTCTAGCAGTTACCGGAAGCCAGTGAAGGGAGCGGAGGAGCGGAGTGGTGTGGGAAAATGTAGGAAGGTTGAAGACCAGACGAGCCGCTGCATTCTGGATGAGCTGCAGAGGTCGGATGGCACATGCAGGTAGACCAGCCAGGAGGGAGTTGCAGTAGTCTAGGCGTGAGATGACGAGAGCCTGGACCAGAACCTGAGTCGCTTTCTGTGTCAGCAGTCTCTATTGAGAGTACAGCAGAAACTCTCACACAAGTCATTGTAAATGATCTAAGTTACATTGATTTAGTTGCATGCTCTGTACTTTACAAATACAAGAGTATTTGCTAAAAAAGTACTATTAAAAACACTTTTTTTAAGGTACTTTTTTTGCAGCATTAAATGCATTTGAGAAGTAGTGAGCATACAACATATTTGTGTAAAAATGTGTTTTGATATCGTCTTTCTGGGTTTTTTTTTCATGCAGGTTGGTTTGGAAATTAAGAATAATTTTCCTCACAACAATAATCACAAAATGACAACCCAATTCGTTTTGACAAACAGCCCTTTTGAATACATATTTCCCCACAAAAATATCTATCAATGTTGATGTTTGTTGTTCAGGTACAAAAGAAAACACAACACTGGAGAATTATTTTTAAAATACTGAAGTGGTCTGTTAACTTTAATTTAATCGAGGTAGAACCATCTGTATTATTTACACATTAACATTAAAAATAAATACTTTCATGTTATATACAAATAAATACAGTGATATAACCCTAGTTATAAAACTACTTCATGTTCCCTCTGTGCTTAGTTAAATATTACAGGATCTATAATAAAGTCACACTTACTTGATCATATTGAGCAAGCCAAGTTCACGTTTATATATTTTATATTATATAATCTCCAAAAAGCCATTGATTAGATAAAGCTTCTGGGATTCATTGTTTGGGCCGTACATGCCCGTATGGGAGTGGCAAATCAGGAATGTGCTCAGGGTAAAGGTGGATTAAGCTCTGCTGGAGGTAATGTAAGGCCATCAGAATCGTTATAGTAATAAAGATAACAGTTGTTGCCGTAACAAATGCAAAGGGCTAAAAGGAGAATCTGTGGGTCTGTCAAAAATCATATACTAAAATACTATTAATGCTGATATGACGCAATAATTCGTATATTTATGTTCCAACTGCATCGTTTGTGTATTTTGTTTAAGTGAGAAACACCAGGATGTTTTCTAGAATAACAAGAATTTCTGAGTAAGAGAAGTTAGGTTACTTAACTGTTAAGTATAAGAGTATGTTAAGCCTTAACATACTCAACTGACGCACAGTGCATGGCGGCTCCTCGGACGGTACAATGGTGTGGTGCACTGCACAAAAATGAACGGTTACAATAACTAATTATGAATACAGCTGAGTGAAAGCATGGGAACACAGGTTATCAAATAAGACATATTACTTGAGTTAACTTGAGTGTGAACAGTCTTTTGGTCATGGCCTTATTAATTGTAAAATTTAGTAGGCAGTATAGAGTACATACAGATTGACTTTGTGGTACTATGCAGTAAGTTTGTATATTGTTTCGAACACAGCCCAGGCCTCATCTCTCTTAACCCTTAAAAGCATTTGTTTTTCCTGCAAACAAGATAATGACAAACAGCAGAGTTGAGTTTGTGTAAAGTAATGGTTAGTGGGGAGCCAGAAGATAAAACCAGAGTTGAATGCAAGTAAATATTGGACTTAAAATTAATGTGTTTTTTTAAACATGACTTATTGCTGTGTGTTTGCTGGGTGTGTAACCAGGCAGTTGTTTGATGACAGGCAAGCCAGAACTTCTCGATCAGTTTGTGGTACAGAAATCAAAGTTGCCTATTTTGCTTTGGTAAACATTCTGATTATTGATGTTGTGAAATCTCTCTGCACCAAGCTAGTCATCTGTGATGTACTTCTGCCAACTTCAACATCCTGTCAGACTTTCTGAGTTCTGCAGGGTCAGCAGACATATTCGGTCTGGATTTTTCTGGAAGCTGAATCTTGGGTGTCTCATTGCTGTCTAGATCTCAATAACTGTAGGTGGCATGTAAGAAAGAAAACGTATGATGCGATTGGGCAGATCCAGCTTGGAAACAACTTCACATGCTCTTATGCCGAGAGCCCCTCTCACAGCCACTCTGCTGATCTGCTGTAGACTGAGAGGGGTATCTATGGAAGAGAAAGCCAAAGAGGTAACATTTTATCTGTGCTCTTAGATAATTTATATTTTTAGCAGTGACAGGAGGCACACTTCAAACTTACTCTCATAGAACTCAAGGGAGAGATACGAGGGAGATCCCAGACTGGTGTAGTGGATGGGCTTTTTTTTCAGATTATCCCTCGCGTACACGTTTACCCCAAACTCCACAAGTAGATCGATCAAGTCGACGCTCTTAGTTTTGGCTGCGTGATGAAGAGTTGTCTCATGTAACGTTGCAGCATTCACATTTGCCCCTTTGGGAAAGAAAGACACGCAAAACTGTATGAGAAAGAAAACACTTTTCTTGTATATACAAACTGTGTATTTACAAAATGTATACTGCCATGACATCCAGTTAGAATATAATAGCCGTAAGCATAACAAACCAATACAAGACACACTATAGGCGCGGTGCACACAGTTTTGTGGTTGCTTATCAACAGACAAGGACATTTTAGGAAAATGTATAAATCTCAATTAACTTGAGTAAATAAGGTGTTTTACAAAATAAATCCTTATATATATACTGTATCTTACAGAGATATTAATATAGTAACATGATTTATTTATGATACAAACTTCAGCAATATCGGGATGTAATTGGAAAAGTATTCTTAAAGTTGCCTTGAAATACATAATATATTACAAAAGCACAGATAGCAACAATCATTAAAGGTCCCATGTCATGCTTTTCCGGTTATTACCCGTCCCCTTCTGTGTTATGAAGGTTTTTATCCATGTAAATGGTCTGCAGAGTCAAAAACCCTCAAAGTACACCCTGTAGGGAGTAAAACTCTAACACAAAACTCCCCAAAACGCCTCGTTGGAGATTTCTCATTTTCCAATGTTTTCTTCCTGGGTATTGTTATGTAGGGATACCCAGTAGCCACGCCCAGTGCTATGGCCGCACCCTCTGCCAGCCTAACATATACAGAGGGGCAAAAAAGTATTTAGTCAGCCACCAATTGTGCAAGTTCTCCCACTTAAAAAGATGAGAGAGGCCTGTAATTTTCATCCTAGGTACACTTCAACTATGAGAGACAGAATGGGGGGAAAGAATCCAGGAAATCACATTGTAGGATTTTTAATGAATTAATTGGTAAATTCCTTGGTAAAATAAGTATTTGGTCACCTACAAACAAACAAGATTTCTGGCTCTCACAGACCTGTAACTTCTTCTTTAAGAGCCTCCTCTGTCCTCCACTTGTTAACTGTATTAATGGCACCTGTTTGAACTCGTTATCAGTATAAAAGACACCTGTCCACAACCTCAAACAGTCACACTCCAAACTCCACTATGGCCAAGACCAAAGAGCTGTCAAAGGACACCAGAAACACAATTGTAGACCTGCACCAGGCTGGGAAGACTGAATCTGTAATAGGTAAGCAGCTTGGTGTGAAGAAATCAACTGTGGGAGCAATTATTAGAAAATGGAAGACATACAAGACCACTGATAATCTCCCTCGATCTGGGGCTCCACGCAAGATCTCACCCCGTGGGGTCAAAATGATCACAAGAACGGTGAGCAAAAATCCCAGAACCACACGGGGGGACCTAGTCAATGACCTGCAGAGAGCTGGGACCAAAGTAACAAAGGCTACCATCAGTAACACACTACGTCGCCAGGGACTCAAATCCTGCAGTGCCAGACGTGTAAAAACTCAACTAGACGTGTTTGGAGGAGAAAGAATGCTGAGTTGCATCCAAAGGACACCATACCTACTGTGAAACATGGGGGTGGAAACATCATGCTTTGGGGCTGTTTTTCTGCAAAGGGACCAGGACGACTGATCCGTGTAAAGGGAAGAATGAATGGGGCCATGTATCGTGAGATTTTGAGTGACAACCTCCTTCCATCAGCAAGGGCATTGAAGATGAAACGTGGCTGGGTCTTTCAGCATGACAATGATCCTAAACACACCGCCCGGGCAATGAAGGAGTGGCTTCGTAAGAAGCATTTCAAGGTCCTGGAGTGGCCTAGCCAGTCTCCAGATCTCAACCCCATAGAAAATCTTTGGAGGGAGTTGAAAGTCTGTGTTGCCCAGCGACAGCCCCAAAACATCACTGCTCTAGAGGAGATCTGCATGGAGGAATGGGCCAAAATACCAGCAACAGTGTGTGAAAACCTTGTGAAGACTTACAGAAAACGTTTGACCTCTGTCATTGCCAACAAAGAGTATATAACAAAGTATTGAGATGAACTTTTGTTATTTACCAAATACTTATTTTCCACCATCATTTGCAAATAAATTCTTTAAAAATCAGACAATGTGATTTTCTTTCTCATTTTGTCTCTCATAGTTGAGGTATACCTAGGATGAAAACTACAGGCCTGTCTCATCTTTTTAAGTGGGAGAACTTGCACAATTGGTGGCTGACTAAATACTTTTTTGCCCCACTGTGTACTGTTGGAAGCTCAGGTTCAGTTCACGACTGTATCCAGTCATGTGAGGGGAAATCTTCATTGTATGCCTTACGGAGGGCAGAACCACGACCAAGTCAGTGGTTGACATTACTTGTTAACACTGTTCCTTCAGATGTTCGAGCCGGTATTGTACTGTGTGCGCTGCATTTCACGGACCAAAGCTTCGCAAACATTGCAGCGATTCATGCCGGATATGCACAGCGTAGGACACTGAAGGACGATGCTGTTCCTACTTTGTTTGGACCAGCGGGAGATTCGGGTACACAACCTGTAAGTACGCATTGTTGTTTGTGTATTTATGGTGTTTAAAACAAACAAGGTATCTACCACGACTGTTTAAATGGGTAAACGTTTTTGCGGCAGCTAAGCCATTGACACAGTGCTAACTGGGCTAACTAAGTTGCTAGCGTTTCCATACATCAACTCCAATGTCAGCAGATGGCTTTACATGTATCTCATAACAGGAGAATGTCTGCATTCACACGAAATACTCATATTAATATTAATAATAGATTTAATTTGTTAGCGCTTTTACAGGTGCTCAAAGACGCTTTACAGATATAGTGAAGAGAAAAGAAAAGGAAGGAACAACAAATAAATATATAGTTAAAGTTAAAGTCAAATAATAAAAAAACAATCACACATTAAAAGCCAGATTGAAGAGGTGAGTTTTTGTGAGTTTTTTTAAGGTGGTGAGGTCAGTGCAGTCTCTGATGGGTTGTGGGAGTGAGTTCTAGAGGGAGGGGGCAGCGACGGAGAAGGCTCTGTCCCCCCAGGTCCGGTGATTGGTGCGGGTGGGGATGGATAGGAGGTTGGCTTCTGATGAGCGGAGGCAGCGGGAAGGGGCGTGGTGGTGCAGCAGGTCTGTGAGGTAGGGGGGGGGGGGGCTGATTGTTGAGGGCTTTGTGAGTAATGAAGAGGACTTTGAAGTTGATTCTTTGATGAACGGGGAGCCAGTGGAGGTTCTGGAGGATGGGAGTGATGTGGTCTCGGGAGCGGGTGTGGGTGAGGAGGCGGGCAGCAGAGTTCTGGATATGTTGGAGTTTATTGAGGAGGTTGGATGGTATGCCGTAGAGCAGGGGTGGCCAACCAGTCAGAGGTTAAGAGCCACATTTTTTCTATGTTACTGCAAAGAGCCACATCAAACACACAGTCACTGATACCGCTTGTTTCAGTTTTTTGTTTTCTGGAGACAAGATTTCAACCACGTCACTGATGCATTTTTGTGGCATTGGGATATATTTTTTTTAAATCCTCTGGAGCAGAGAGAGGAGCTGTGTATTATTGTTATTGATTAATGCATCAGTGTTTCTTAGGGTCAAAAACACTAAACTCACAACTTCAAATGAAAGCGTTTAGTTTATTTAATAAAAGAGCACATGTTCAATGTGAAAAGTGACAGTAGTTATAGATTATTTGCAATTTGGTGCGATATATATATATTTTTTAAAATTATATATTTTTTTTAAACACCTTGAATTTCAGGGGGGGCGCGGGGCTCCGTTGGCGGTTGTCTCCCTTCCAAGACAATGGTAGGGGAAACACTGGATAGTAGTGTTTAATCAACGATAGGTTTTCCCCCCCTCAAAAAGTGATTGGTTCACTGCATCGCAGGTATTATTGTGATTGGCTCTTGGGCCACATCAAAATTAGACGCGCTGTCATCCTCTCATACTGACACCTGACACCACACATACACACGTAGGGAGAGCCCGGACGAAAGTAACACGGAACGAAAGTAACGGAGCAATTTTATCCGAGCCCAAACAACTTTGACCGGCCAAATTACGTCAGAATTATCAGCATTCAATACTTAACAGACCTACTAAATATCAGGTTTAACTGTCGTGTTGTCACGATACCAACATTTTGGTTTCGATACCAAGTCAAGAATTGCGATTCCGATTATTTTTCGATACTTTTCTTAAAAAAAGGGAAACAGTCTTAAATGTAATTATTGTGCTTTATTTCAGACCAGAACCAGAACCATAACACAACCTTTAAACAATGAGAACAATAAATGACAAGAATTCGTATTAAATAAAAGTAATACATTTCTTACAGACAGGCCTCGTGGTGTCCGTAGGCTTGCCCTCACTGTCAGAGATATAGCTAAAATACTTCCACATTTCGCTTCTGGCGTCTTTTTTGTCAACAAGCCGAGGGGCAGCGGCAGTTGCACTCTCACTTGCAGCCATGCTTCTCGTTTTCTCACATGCTCTGGCAGCTAGCGCGTGCACGAGTGCGGGGAGGCACTTGAGCGTGCTTTAGAGGGGCGGGACTGTAGGCACGGCTGCAGAGCAGGGAGTGGAAGCAGAGCGCTGAACACACACAGCTCTTATTTAAACGGCGCTTTCTCACCGGAGTACTTTCCACCGTCATTCTTAAACGGAGGAATCGTAACGTTTTTAACGGCAGGGTATCGCGGTATACCTTTCAAGTATCGGTACACCGTGCACAACTAGTCAGGAGTCAGTGTCTCTCCCCCGAACTCACACATATAAAATTCAATATGAACTGAAGAGCCGCATGAAACTAGGCAAAGAGCCGCATGCGGCTCGAGAGCCGCAGGTTGGCCACCCCTGCCGTAGAGGATGCTATTGCAGTAGTCGAGTCGTGATGTGATGAATGCATGAATCAGGGTTTCAGCAGCAGAGGAGGAGAGTGATGGGATGTGATTTATGTGGTGGTTGAATTTGAGCTGACTGTCGAAGATGACTCCGAGGTTGCGGATGTGAGGGGGGGAGATAGAGTGTGGCTGTCAATGGTGAAGTTGAAATTCTGGATGTCTTTGATACGGGATGGGGGGCCGATGATGATGATGTCTG